CTTCCTCATCTGCATGTTAAAGTGAAAGTTCGGGTGTGATGAAATGCAATTGAGATAGGATGAAACTTTCCCAAGAGAAAAGAGCGACGACAGCTACTTTTCAAAGTTTAACCGTAAAGAAATGAAATAACAGTGAATTGCACTTCATTCGATTGCGAAAAACACTCCGCTGAATTCAATTTTAATCCCTGCAGTGTGCAATACGGCGAGAATCACATCGACCCGCGTATCATCACCCAGTGTATTATTATTGATAACGAAATAACGAAGACGTGCCGTACAACATCATGGAAATAAATTGAAAATTAAAAAAAATCCAATCCGCGAGTTTGAAGATTGCCTGACAATCTAATTAGACAGAGTTTTTTTATCATTAAAAGCAGGATATGCGAATACTTTTAATTCCTCACAGAAATTCACACGTGCCGACAATCACTTCAAATATTTCGTGATTTGGTTCAACTCAATGGCCTTCATTCGCTGCCCAGCTTTTGTTCCCTCACGTACTGAGACACTCGACAGAGATAGATTAGCTGAAGATGTGTGTAATGGCAAGAGTCGACGGAGAAGCTGTGAAAAAGTTGCTCCACGACTCGGAACCGAAAAAAAAAGCGCAGCACTTTTTACCTGCACTTTTCCATCTCAGGACCGCACTAGGTGCCACATCCAAGGGTTTCCAGGAAATAAGACAATTTTCGCAAGTAGTATAGATTTTTTTAACGTCTCCAAGTAATTGCCTAATGATAGTCATAATTAATAATTGAGAATTAATTTTTCTTCTGTCTGGTGTATAGAGGTTTAATGACGACATCTCAGTGTTTAAAACGCCGTAATTCCTCTGGGGATAAAGATACAGAGATGATCTAGGAACCATTTGAAAGCTGATATTATAAGCTTTAAAATGGTATATCATTTGTATTTTTAATCCGAAAAATTCAGGAAATTTTAAGAATTTAAAAGTGTCAGAATCGTGATTCAGATGAGTGACGATTTTAAAAATAAGAATTCTCGAAATTTCGCGATCTACTCATCATAATATAATATATTAACAATTACTAAAATAATTCCATGTAAATCTGTACAATAAATGATAATAATAATCATTATTATGTTAGCTCCGATATTCTTGATTCCAAATGCAAAACGAGTTCATCCGCGTGGTGTGCATTTCGCGAAAAAAATCCAGTGGAGTTGGCCGGCTTTCATCGGACTATTTCACAAATTTTTTTTTTCGAGCAGTCGCTCTCCGCTCCCCAAAAATATAAAAAAAAAACATGCCAACTTCATTTTCCCCCAGGTGCCCTATATTTATTCGCGAATTTTTTCCACCCGAGAGCGCATTTTCTCCGAAGTCGGGAAAAAAGGCAAACGGTGTATGGGTGTGTGGAGGATTATTACAGTTCTCTTCTTTCTTTCAAGTTAATGCATTGTTCGAATACCTTTCTGCATCTCTTTCTGTTACAGGGGTGATGAAAGCGCAAAAGTTATTCATTCGCTGATACTCTCGGGCGCGGTAGAACAAATACGCAAGTGGTTTTCGTTCAACCGCGTTGTTTTCGCACCGCTAGTAATGGATTTATTCAATCGTGATGGATTGCATCACGCACTAGGTGAATTTACCCGGTGTAAATACTTAATTTTTTACGTAAAACACTGCGCCAGCAATTGATCGATTACGCGAATACTTTTAAAGAATTTCTAAAGAAAGAAATTTATTACACTATTAACGCGGGATCTACGGTTCCACCCAATTGTTTGAGTTAATAAAATTTCAAATATTAATTAACATCACGGACATATTGAAATATAACATTTCAGCATTTCAATCCCTAATAATTAATAATTATAATTATATTATAAATCCCTAATAACAAATAATTTTTCTACGAATAATTCTTCGGATGATCCGTCGCGGAGAAATAAAAAAATATCCGTGGAGTCACTGAGGACCGGTGATTTTTTCTTGATTAGAAGAATCTTGGGGGCGGATATTTGTGCTGAGTAGAGGTGCATTCATTGATATAATGCAAATGTTTCAATGCAAATGTGTATTTTTCTCGTGGGTGAACGAATCATTGATTATGCGTGAGGGACGCCGGAATCGATAGCGTATCAGTCGATATAGCGATCGCTGTGGATGATCGATCTCGATGAAGACTCGGTCTATTCGATTTGGGTCACCGTTTCGAGATGTTTTTCGAGGGTTCTTCGCGGGTCGCTAGTCACATGTTAATGGATTTATAAGGGCGGAAGTTGATGGTTGAGGACTGATTTAATGCGAGGATTCGATCACTTGATTAGTATTCGACTCTTGAGGCTCGATCTGCTTGACTGATGTTCACTTGATTGAGGATTTCTCCCTCGTGGGTCAGACGTGAATGAAATTCATCGGTAACTCTCGAAATTTTAACCGAAATTTTTTAATGAGAGTGGTGAACCGTCATTTATTGTTTTATGGGAATTATTGCTGGTATTGTAAATTTGACGGAATCCATTTTCCGAGGAATATGCGAGATATGGCATTGTTGATTTTATCTTTTCCACTTTCGGATAATTCGATTTTATCTCAACTTCCGTATTTATCCAATTAATATTCACACGTCCGAGCGCGGGATGAGAAACAAACAATGAGCTAATAATAAATAATAATAACTGAATAATACTCCAGTGAATTCGCATCAGAGAAAAAATTAATGGAATTACGACATTTGATTTCTCATCGGTTAAATAAATATTTGTATTTTCCAAATGTTGAAACAAGTCAATATGTGTATCAATAATTATTAATTAAGCAGGAATTAATTGATACAACGATTTAAATGAAATAATAAAGTAATAGAAGTATTGAATAATAAATATTCAAGGGAGAATCCACCGAGACTCGCCAATCCGTTTCACGTGTGCGAAAATCAAATGCGAGGCTTCCTACCATTGGCGATTATTGGCTTCGAAAAAAAAAAAAATTAAAATTAAAAAAAAGAGTATTAAGGATCTTCTGGACGTACAGTCAAAACAAAAATTTAAGATCCTTTCTACGATTTGTTATATCAATCGCAATTAATTTTCAATAAATACTTCAATGCGCTAATTAGTTGGAGTAATAATCATAAAAAATTATTATGTTGTATTTGATTTTATGAATGCATAGTGTATTGTTTAAAAAATTAAAATAAATTTTAGTCAATCGTTTTAAAAATTCTGGTTATCGCTCCAAAAAAAATTCAAAATTCCAGGTAATTCTTATATATTCGCCAATATATGAGAGATAATTGTAAAACTGGCGGGTAGCCATCGGAGAAATTCTCCCATGTCAAAACCTTTCGATAAAAAACATCCGGCGCTGATATCCGAGAAGCTGTACATTCGCTACCCAAACATTTCAACAATCACCCAATTTTCAAATAACTCTAAATCTATCGGAGATAGCGGAATTTTTTCTATCACTTTTTTTCACCCCTCAATCTTCCCTATAAAAAATATAATAACAAAAAATTCATTATCTCCTCCAGATCCGCAGATATTCACCAAAAACGGATGCGATATCCGCACGCCGACTCAAGCCATTTTATCTCTATATTAAAAAATCTCTAGACTACACAAAAAATCTGGAATAAAAATTCAAAATCTCCGAGTTCAATCGACACATCTTAACAATTGGAAACGATTAAACAATACAAACAGATCAATCTAGAGAATACCGTGGTAATAATATTTTTTTAATCAATTACTGAATTTTTTTACCTTACCCGGATGAATGAAATTGCTCAGGCAGACTGTCCCGAGGATCGCCCGCATATGATCCTCAAGGAAAAAGAAATCTCATCATCACTTCAATGTTCTCATTGAACTTATTGTATGAACTCTGTAAAAACAGGTGGTGCACCGGAGATTAGAGCTTGCGACAGCTTCGAAAGTCGCGCCGCAACTGCTCGCGTTGTCGGTTTAACTTGCATGCACCCGAGGCCACCGCACTCCTACATTTTCTTGCGCATTCAATATCCTCCCTCACACCCCCTCCTCACCCTCCTC